AGTCTACGTCCACTACCTTAGCTATCCACACTAAGGATTTTCCAACAAATTCACTAAATTGTTCTTTCTTTTGAGGCCAAAGAGATAACCTTACAACTCCCTCAAGAATATACCCCAATTCTTGAGAACGCTCTTTTCTCAAAGAGAAATACAAATTTGCAAACTTACAAGAAAAACCTCACAAGGAAAATATGTTTGCACAATTCTAGAACAAAGAAAGAACACTCAAGAATAAATATAATTGAGCACAATAAGTGTTCTTGAAAGCAAAATGAATATTGAATGAAAAATAGGCTTGAAATGCTCAAACTTGAGGTTTGATGCTTTCTCTTTGATTCTCTCTTGATTCTAATTGCTTGATGTTTCTTGTTTTTGATCAATGGCTTCTAAGCTTGCTTAAATACACCTTGAATCACTTCTGAACGTTGGGGATGATTAGAGAAAATAATATAGCCGTTTTAGTGTGAAAACAATTAATAAAACAGTTTGGAGCGAGGGGAATCGGTTCCCTAAGTGTAAAATTCAAATATTTCGACCGTTATACAAGGGGGGAATCGGTACCCCCTGGGGGGAATCGGTTCCCTCCGAGCATACTGGAATTCTCAGAGCCAAACCATTCAGGGGGGAATCGGTACCCCCTTGGGGGGTAATCAGTTCCCTCTGAGCAATCTGGAATTTTTGGCTTTGAAATGGTTCGAAATACTTTGTAAAATTATTTTGAAATTGTTTTAAGATTAAAACTTAATTTTACACTTTGAGTAAGGATTAAAAATGATCTTTGAAAGATTTAAAGTAATGTTTTATATTCGAATAATTCTATCGAATATACTTAGAAAATCATTTGGAAAATCTTAAAATTCATTTAACTTAATTTGTTATATCGAAATATCAAAATGTTTTCAACACTCCTGCAACTAAATCTTTAACTCTTTCAACTCCTTTGGGGCCATCCTGTAAGGAGCCATTGAAATCGGTGCTGATTCTGACATCACTTCAATCTGAAACTCAACCTCCCTATCTGGAGGTAATCCAGGCAATTCTTCCTGAAATACTTCTGGAAATTATCTAACTGTCGGAATATCTCAAGCTTCTTTTCTTTGGCTCTCTTATCGATTATATTAGCAATATACGCTTGACATCTTGTAGCATTAACTTTTGAGCCGACATCATGGATATCACATTAGCTAAGAGATTTATTCTTTTGCTGACCACACTAACCTCCAATCCATCCAAACTTGTTAACATAACTCGCTTAAGTCGACAATCCACATTGGCATGATAATGGTACAACCAATCCATTCCAAGGATAATCTCGAATTCGTCAAAGGGTAATTCATTAAATTAGCAGGGAATTCAATTCCCTGAATCTATATGGGACACCCTCGATAGATTTGTCTCACCCGAGCACTATATCCTAATGAATTAGTCACAATCACCTCACTACGAATAGGTTCTAATGGAATGCTCAAGTATTTAACCAGTTTACTACTAACATAGGAATAATTCGATCCTGGATCAATCAAAACTAAAACATATTTACCAGCTATCTGAAAAGTACCTGCAATGATTTCAGGATCATCACAACCTTCATTGGTCTTTAAAATGTATACTCAAGCGGTGGAACGTATTTCAGGTTGAGTGGTCGACTCAGATTGATTCTTCCTCTACCTCGACCTTTGTCTCTTCTAGGTACTGCAATGGATCTTTCTGTTTGGGCAGGATCTCCCATCATCAATGGGCAGTCTCGAATAAAGTGCACTACCTCTCCACTCTTAAAACAAGCTCCGGAGACCCTTCGACAAACTCCACTATGATTTTTGCCACAATGCTGACATTGTCTCGACTTGTCCATTCTGGATTCCACTGAATAAGTTTTCTTGCTCTTCCCAGATTTGATCCTCTACCTGAGGATGCTGCGGATTTTGCTCTAGTATGAGGTCGAGAACTTGAACCTCTACTCTTCTTTATTTCACTGCATCCTTTGCTCCACAAACCGCTCGTTTTGAGCTCGCTCCAGTGGTTTAGCTCTATTCATAACCTCTTGAAATGAAGAGAGGTAAGTGCCAACAATAACTCTTTCAGTCTGGGGCGTAAACAACATCTTATATGACCAATTTGTAATTTTAATTGTCGGAAATTCAACAAAATAACGTCCTATAATCGAATAATTCAACAAAACAACATCTTATATTATTTGAGTACTTTATCTTATAATCACCCTAGATTAATAAATAAAAAATATTAATATGAAAGATCATAAGCATACCTCAAAATCAAACTTATCGAATAATTATTGAAAAAGAGTGAAATATTAGTATGTCGAGTCTTTAGATGAATTTTTATTGATTTATGGATGAATTTCGTAAAAAAACAATTCTATTAAAAGAAATTAATGTTTTGATATTGATCTTGTCACAAAAGATGATTGTTGACGGACGGCGATTAGTTTTCAACGACGGTTGAAGAAATACATTGTCAATAGGCGAATTATTTAAAAGTTCAGTGATAATTTTAATATACTCCTAAAATTTGATGTTTAAAACATCATTTTAGACATCAATAATTACGCCAAAATAATATTGTTTTGTCCATATCAACGTATCGATTTAATATCACAATAATGTAAATAAAATCAAAATTTAAATCTTATATTATAATTAAAGCAATTAAAAGATCAATAATATAAATGATATATTACTATAAAGTTGTTTTCTTTTTAACTATATATTACCAAAGTTAAATTTATCTTATATTGTTTACCGTTGTGATTTTTCATTTCGTTGCTACTCAAACACAAATGTATTTATCGGAAAGAAAACGCGTTAAGGAATAAAACACTCCACTATATGCCAAACCTTTTAAATGTGGAGGACTCAAAACGAATTTATTTATTTATTTCCTAAAAAAATGTCAACAAAAATCAATAGTAGAATCAAGCAATAATTGGTCGATAAAAGTGAAGTTGTGGATGTCACTAATCCTTAGTAGTTAGGAGTCTTCAAATCTGATAAAATCACTATGAAGTTGTGGATGTTACTAATTCTAGTAGTTAGGAGTGTTCAAATCTAATAAAATCACTGTGAAATGTGGATGTTACTAATTCTAGTAGTTAGGAGTGTTCAAATCTTGCAAAATCACTGTGAAGTTGTGGATGTTACTAATGCTTAGTTGTTAGGATTGTTCAAATTTGGCAAAATCACTTAAATATCATTTTGGGAAACATAAATTCTTCATATAATTATTATCATAATTTATTTTTTTAAATAGAGTGGTCTTTACCGTACTGAAGGAAAATCGCATGGACCATTCGTCGTCTTTCATGGAAGATTCGACGTCTTTTATTAAGACGCGTGCATGCCCGTAAGCTAATAATTTTGCAGTTCAAACGTATATTTCCAAAGATGTTGTGTAATTCGGGTATCTTCCAGAAGTCATCAGGTAATCTAGCATTTTTCATGATGTACTGTAACAATAATCCGAGAAATAATTTTTCCAACCCTTATATGAGCACTTTTTTTTCAACCTCATCATGTAAGAAAATTTTCCTTTCCAACCCTGACCAATTTATCTTTAATCCCACATGATTAATCATATAAATTTGAATTTGATTAATGGTATAAATTTTAAGGAAAAAAAGTTATTCATCAATTGGATCGGTCTAATAAAATTAATTGATCTACTGAATTAATTAAAATTTGATATCATAGATGATATTATTATAGAAATTCTTATATTATATTTCGGATTGTGTTTATCTCTTTTTAAAGCATTAGGGAAAAAATAATATATCGTTGTGATTGTGTTGTTTAATATTTATTTTAATATTTTATTATATAAAACATAATAATAAATTTAATCCTCGATTTTTATGCTTTTATTTAGTTTGGCCATTACTCTTTTGTTAGGAGCAAATAGACCCTCAACTTTTCACCATTCAAGTGTCACCTTATTTTTTTTTTGGATAAGTAAGAATTTTATTATCCAAATAGCAAAGTTTTACTACAAACCAATCAACCAATCAATACAAAAAGAAGCTATGCACACCTAAACAAAAACAGTGATTGGTAGAACTATAAACCGCAAGCATTACAAAGGTTAAGATTAGTACTATCTAGCCTATTGATATTTTCCCCTAAGACAAAACCGAACATCATCAATGATTTCAGTTAGCAAAATTTCAGCCTGTCTTGACCGATGTTGAAAATTCACTGATTTCTATCCTTCCATATAGTATAGATAAAAGCAGACCAAGCTATCTTCAAAATGGAGGTGATAAGAGACTTCCCTTTCCATGAAGTGCTTGTTGTAGCAACTGTTTCTTCCCATGATAAGTTTGTAGGATTCATTCCATTCAATATCAAAACAGAATTCCATAAGCAGACTGCTAGTGAACACTTAGAAAATAGATGGTTTCTTGTCTCGTGAGATAAGTTGCAGTTTACTCAAGCTGTATCAGTGCTAATTCCCATTCATTGCAGGCGATCTCTGGTGTGTAATTTGTCCTGTAGAGCCATCCAAACGATTACTCATGTCACCTTATTTTATATATATCATGCGGGCAAAAAAAAAGGGTCAAATTGAATAAAATATAAAAATTAAAAGTTAAATTTATTATTATATCTTATATATAAAACACAATTATAACAGATAAATTATTTTACCTTTTTGAATTACACACGATGGTCAAATTAAATTAAAAGAATTGTCTAATAAAGTAACAAATTAAATTAAAAGAATCGTCTAATAATTAACTTTTATAATTTTTAATCTTAATTAGTCTGTCAAATAGATCTATTATAAGTAATTGTATATAAAAAATTAAAGTTGGTTTGGTTTGAACACTCCTAACAACCAGGGTTTGGACGAGCCACAACCTTCACGTCAGATGTTATCATCAACAAAAATGTTATCATATCCTAAATGCAGTATATATATAGGTGCCCAATGAGGCAGTGGAAGCGCACAAAACAAGAGAAGCAACACAGAATAATTGAAGCAAGATGGCAACGAAGAGAGCTGTTCTGGTGGGTTGCAACTATCCCTACACGAAATTCAGGTTGCATGGATGCGCAAATGACGTGAAATCCATAAAAGATATAATCAAGAAAAAATTTGGATTCGATGAGAGAAATATTACGGTCCTGACTGATGATAAAGATTCAGAAGGATGGTCGTCGTCGTGCCTGCCTACTGGTGCAAACATTAAGGCTGCTCTTAATGCAATGGTGAAAAAGGCTAAACCAGAAGACGTCCTGTTTTTCTACTTCAGTGGACATGGAACAACCATTCCGGTCTTGGAACCTCACAAGCCTTTCAGGCAGGACGAGGCCATCGTGCCTTGTGATTTCAATCTCATCACTGGTAGGCCGTTTAAATTGCTAGATCCATATATTTCAGGTTTAATCGAGAAATATGTATTCAAATTATACTTTTGTTAACTTTTAAGTGTTTAACGTTTTTTCTTTTATTAAAGTATGTATTTAACGTTTTCAAAACTATTATTTTAAGGTCAATTCGGTCATGATCGTTAAAAAAAATAATTCTCAAATCTTTAAACCCTAATTTCATACTTAACTTTAGAGATTTAGGGAACCTAGGCAGCGACAAAGGGATGGCCGACAATAGGGGTCAGACAACAGATGGGTGAGCGTTTGGCCTATTACAGTGATGGTGGTAATGAATTTTGAGATTAGTAATTTGTATTGGAAATTTAGGAAATTAAAATTTATGGAGATTTAGGGGTTTGGGACAACAGTAACAGGATGACTGATAGTGATGAACTGAGTCCCGACGTTAGGTGAGTGGGCTTTCGACTACAATGATAACGACCGACGACGATAATAAACTTTGAGATTATATATTTTAGGATTTTTTTTTGGATTTTAGAGAAACTTGGAATTTTTTAGAAAATAATAATTTCAAATTTTTCAAAAAAAATAATTTTTCAAAATTTTATATACGTTAAAGGTGTCACATTTCGTGAAAGATTTGATTTTAAAATAATAATTTTAAAAATATTAAACACTTAAAGTTAAGAGATGTAATTTAGAGACTTAGTTTTTAAATAAGACCATAATTTGGAGTAATATTCATACAGTATATATAAACATTGGATTGCAGATGTGGACTTCAGGCGTTTGGTTAACCGGCTGCCAGCAGAAGCAAGCTTCACAGTTCTTTCGGATTCATGCCATAGTGGTGGTCTCATTGAAAAAGAGAAAAAACAAACTGTATCTTCCGAGGATACAGAAAATACTGATAATCAGGTTAAGGGTAAGGTTAAGGTTAAGGCTAAGCCTAAGTTCCTTGGTTTTGATTTCATAAGCCACGCGATCGACACAGCGGCAGGCTGGGCAGTGCAGGCGGTCGACACAGCGGCAGGCTGGGCCGGTCAGGCGATCGATACAGCAGCGGGCTTCGCCCACAACGAAGTAACTAAAATCGCCCAGGGTACTCACAGAATCTTCGGGAAGGATGTGAGTCTCAAATTCCATCCTCATTACACAGGCGGGGCACTACAGTTGGATGCACTTGAGGAGGATGATGGGATTTTGTTAAGCGGGTGCGAATCGGATGAGACGTCGTACGACATCGTTTCCGGTGGTCGAGCCTATGGGGCGTTCACCGATGCAGTGGTTAAGACACTCACAAATCTCAGCGCGCATGAAGAAATTACCAATAAAAAGCTTTTGTCCATGGCTGCCGAGGCCGTACGGAAACAAGCACATGAGGCTGAGCAGCACCCTTGCCTTTATTGCAGTGATAATAACAAAGATCAGCCTTTCTTGGGCGGCTTTGCTTGAATATCTGATCAAAACGTCGCTGCCTCCGGCCGTCGACGTTATAATAATAGTAATGTGCTATGTTGATCCATAGTAAATTACTACTACTAGTCCACTGCAATAAATTCGACGGCGGATTGGCTTACATCTACCTTTGTTTATCCATGTACGTCTTTATATATAGCGTGTGTTTGTTATGTTAAGGCCTTCAAACTTATGCCATTGTATATTTCCATATATGTATGGCTATATATGATAAATAAGAAAGGCTTTTATATTTTATCTTGTTTTGTATTATGTATCATCCATTTTTCGATTCGGAAAATAAAATTTATATCACAAGAATAGCTCTCTTGGTCACTTTCGCCATTGATTTTAAGTTGTTGGATTTGAGGAATATTAAAAGCCAATACCTTGGTAAATATTGCCTGTGTTTGGCGTCCATAAACTCATAAATTAAGAGTAATAATTTAACTCAAACGTCTGAAATGTTTTTCTAAATGTAAATACGTGTTATTTTCAGATCAATTAACATTATGGGTAAACTACACATTTAGTACCCTAACTATCATTTTTGTTTTGTTTTAGTCATTCAACTATTTTTTTTTCAAAATCATACTTAATTTACGTTTCCTGTTAAAAAAATTAATAAAACTACTGATGTGATATTTTTTTTATTTTTTCAATAATGATGTAAAATTATCTTTTGGTGATACATCAACATCACTATTAATTTTTCAGTAACGGGTGACTAAAATGAAACAAAATGTATGATTTTGAAAAAAATAGTTGAGTATGTAACCAAAACTGAACAAAAGTTATAGTTGAGGTACTGAACACATAATTTTCCCTAATATTATTTATTAATTTCAATTCATTTAATTTTAGTAAAATTACGAACATATCCATAAATATAAACTATAAAATATTAATTAAATTTTGTTAATAATATCATCAATCCATGAACATGAGTTCGTTACAAAGTCAATAGTCAATATTTCATTGTGTTCGTTTCCCAATTAATGTGTGTGTGTATATATAACATTAGATTTGATGGAGAATGTCATGGTCTGTAGATTTCTTGAGTAAAAGTTTGCAGAAAAGGTACACACTCAAATTTTTACTCATCACGATATGTTAGATGGGGATGTTAGTGGAACGGATTACTCAAAGACTTGTCCTACTTTATGGAAGAGGATGGATGTGAGTTTTATGGGTTGAGGACCGGGACGAAGATAAAAATAAATCTATTGTATATGCTGGGATAGGCGTGGATATGATCTTGTATCTGTTTTTTCTATGGATGATAATTTTACTTGAATTTGATAGAATTTTAACTTGACATTATAGGGGTCAGGTTTTATTATTAAAAAAATTTAGATTGGATCAAATTTTGTAAAGAGTGAAGTTAGATTAGGATTTAGGGTAAAAAATCTTTAATCCGACCTAATTTAGGATAATAATATAATTTTCTTCAATAAGTTTTTTATTTAGATCCTTTATTATAGTTAGGGTCTTTTGGTCTAAATTAAAAATAATAAAAATCATCACCAACCTCCACCGTCACTTTCCTTTTTCATTTTCGAATGATCATCATACACAATAAATGTTTTTGTCATACACAATTTTGATTTGGGTAAACTGTACTTGATACTATTAAATTTTAGATGATATATCATTTATATCATTGAACTTCCGGTTGCTTTTTTATAATATTAAATTTTAGTTTTGATTTTAATTATATTATTGGGTCGTTAAAATTCAAACAATGTGATGACACAGACTAAATTAGCAACTAATCACCATCTATCCCATTAGAAGACCATCGGAAGAGATCGAAATATTAATACGTTGAACTTTTAGATATATTTTCATTGATTTTGGACCGGTTTCATGAAAAATCAATCCTATAAAAAAAATGAGTGAAATGCAAATTTTTCTATATCAATTTACCTTGTAAGATGATGACGACGAGCAGTGATTGACTGTCAACGATTGTCGATAAAGTACAATATCAAAAAGTAATGTATTTAAAATTTTAATGATAAATTTGATACACCTCTTAAGTTCTTGCTTGAAACAACTTTATTTTAGACATCAACAATTGTACTAAAACAACATTGTTTTATTCAAGTAATCACAATAATGAAAAAAAACATGGCTTAAATATATAAAAGCTGACCAACGTATGCTCGTTTTTTTAGTTTAGTGTCTAACGTTTTTTTCATTCAAGTTTTGTGTCTAATGTCTAATTTCGTTACTCAAAATGGCTCACGTCGTGACAGATCGTTAGTTTTCTCCGTTAAGTGACACATGTCACAATCTGGTAATTTTAAATTTTTTATTTAAAATTTAAAAAATAAAAGTATATATTTTTAAAAAAAGAAAACACAAATTTTGAAATAACACTAAAACTTTGAAAACCTTCATTTCAACCCATTAACCTTTAACCCATCACCGAACCAACATTCTTCGACCGGAGGTGATCTACACCGTCGCTCCCATCGAACTCAGAAGCAACCGACGACCTCAACCTTGCCCTCAGATCACCCAAAATCGGTCACCGTCGAGCTTATTCGCAAGGAAACTATTCAGTTGCCTACTTCCAACCTCGGCCCCCGCTTGTTGGGAGTCATCACCGCCTAGCCTAGTGGAAGCGCCGTCCCAGACCAGTCATAACCTAGTCATCCACTCCCCGTTGTTCGTGGTGGAGTGGCATTTGAAAGTCCGACGAAAAACCCCATCATCGTTGGACTTTCAGAACTACACTCGATCAGAGGCATCCTTGCAGGAGAGAGGGCAAGAGCATTCCAACTACAGGTATGGCATTCGTAACCCTAGACCCTAAACTAATGTCACGGCCGGAGTACGCTGCACGATTCCTTAATGACAATATAACATATAGCTTTTTTGCACTGCAGGTTGAAGTTTTCCACCTCAAGCAAAGACTGCAGTCTATGGAGAACCGAGCACGACTCCAAGGAAGCCATTCAATGTATAGTGTTGGACCAAAACCGACTAGTTACAGCCATCTTATATGGTAAGAGGAACAGTCCGAATAAACAACTGCTCAACTGGGCCCGATTTGAGCCCTTGTCGGATAGAACTAAGTAATGGAGCTTATGTAAAAAATGCTTATGAGAATAACTTTTCCATTACTTCAAAGAAGTGTTGCAATCTTGACTGTATTTGTCAAATTTATGTAATGCAATCATAATTCAGATTCTAAGTCATGCTCTTCTTCTTGGAGAAGATTTTCCCTGTTGTCATGAGCCCAAAACCCTTGCACGTCGATCAGCATGCTGGCCACGGTACCGCCCTGTTTACAAGCCAGGAGGTCAGCCAATGTAATCCTCAATGGATCAACCGGCTTCATCATATCCCATATTTCGTCCCTCACATCCTCGATGCATAATTCGTAGTTGCCCCCCTCTGTCCATTTCCGGTGTACATCTCTGTTTTAAGAGTAAAATGACATTCTTTCAGCTGACGTATTAAAATAAATTGACAATCCTAGTTCAATAAGAACTACTAATAAATATCAGAAAATCTATTCCGAGTCTTAAACCATGCTTCATTCATCATTCATGTATCTGAAGATACAAGACTTGAGGAAACATCCGAATTTTCTGTAGGAATATTGTCATCAGAAAGCATCTCATCTCTTAGATGCTCCCTTTCTTCACTTCCATGTTTCAAGATATGTTTAAAAGCTCAGGAAAGGAAAAAAAATTCAACTCCTAGCACCAGCTCAAAGCGCATAGTAAATGAAATCCGGGAACCATATCGGTCAAGATGAAACATCGATATGACTATATGAAAGATGTCTTCACATGAAAAGAGAAAGAATATTTGCAGTTGTGAGGAATCCCCTGCCATTAAGATCGAGACAACGAAATATATATGGTAATCCTTCTGGAGTGTCTTTGTTCTCTAGGGCCAGAACAAAGTCAACTTTCAAAATCCATCTCCCGAATATTTCCAGCGCCGGTTTTGCCACGGCGGATGTGCTCATCAAATACTATTTAAAGCATAAGAAATGCAACAAATAAGTAGAACAACTCGAAACAATACCATTTTTGTTTCGAAGGGCATACTTTAAGTAACAACTAAACATAAGAAATTCTAGTATACTTTGAAAGTAAACAATAGTTTATATATCCTACCTCTTTCAATGAAAATTTCAGTTAAGAGTTCCATCTGGGTGGTCCCATCATCGTCGGAATTTCAAACGCCACTCCACCACGAACGGCGGAGAGTGGAGGCGAGTGGATGACTGGGATATGACCGGTCCGGGACGACGCTTCCACTGGGCTAGGCGATGATGACTCCTGACGAGCGGTGGTCGAGGTTGGAGGTGGGCGACCGAATGGTTTCCTTGCGATTAAGCTCGACGGTGACCCATTTTGGGTGATTTGAGGGTCGGGTTGAGGTTGCCGGTTGCTTCTGAGTTCGGTAGGAGCGGCAGTGAACACTACCACCGGTCGAAGAAGTGTGGTTCGGTGATGGGGTTAAAGGTTAATGGGTAGAAATGAAAGTTTTCAAAGTTTTGGGGTTATTTCAAAATTTTTGTGTTTTCTTTTTAAAAAATATTTTTTTAAAAAAAAATTAAATATTTTTTAAAATTACCATATTGTGACACGTGCCACTTAACGAAAAAAACTAACGATACGTCATGGTGTGACACATTTTGAGTAACGGAATGAAACGTTAGACACCAAACTAGAACGAAAAAACGTTAGACACTAAACTAAAAAAATGAACATACGTTAGACACCTTTTATATATTTAAGCTAAAAAATATTAACTTTATTGTACTATTATAATTTCGCATCCAAGTGATATAATTAAATTTTAATATTCTAATTAGAACAATTAAAATTTTAATAATAAAACCATACGTCATAAAAATTTTAATAGTATCTTATACGATTTACCATTTTTTTTATTTTTCCTTTTGTTTCATATTCAAACACAAATGTCTTTATCGATAAGGAAAAAGCATTCCACTATATACCAAACCTTTTAAATGAGAGGGACACAAAACGAGTTTCTTCTTTTTCTTTTTCTAGAAAAAAAAAACAACAGTGAAATCAAGTAATAATTAGTTGACAAATGTGAATATGTGGATGTCAGAAATCCTTGGTTGTTAGGAGTGTTCAAACCCTAACCAATTCACCTTTAGTTCCACATAATCGTACAAATTTCATTTCATTAATGGTATAAATTTTAAGCATAATATAAAAAAAGTGTTCAAATTATACCGTTATTTTTAAATAAGTGTCTAAATTTTTTTCGATCCATCCAAATTTTAAAAAATTTTAGAGTTTGAAATTAGGGGTATATAGTTTAAAGTCAATGTCGTTTAGTAGGTAGGCGGCGACCGGTGAGTAGGTAGGCGGCGACCGGTGAGTAGCTATTCGACAGCTGTGGTGGAAGATGGCAGTGGCCAAATATGACTGTCGGTGGTAATGGGTTTGGAATGAAAGATTTTAAAGATTTTGTAACACCCCCAACCCGTATCCGACCCGGATACGAGTCCGAAGTGTCACATTAACTTTTCAAACCTTGACTCTTAAGAAAAATCCCGGGAAATTTAAAACTTTATTAAATCAAAATAAAGACTTTATCAGAGTGCTCGTACTTAATGACTTATTACATGCCAACACTTTATACATAACCAAATACATACTTTGTCAAATATTTCTGATCTGATCTTTTGGTAAGGAAAACTGACATGTCTTGCTCCGCATCCCTCCTTACTCTTCTCGAAACCTACGTGTGAAACAATCACACGCTAAGTCAAAGACTTAGTGAGGCATAACCACTTATAATGCACTTTAAAACATATATTGATACATGCATGTTCTGTTCTATCATGTTATAGCAATTCCAGGCATTTTTCATATCGTATAAAATCATATCAGATTAATCGCAGTAAATACATACATACACATAATTCATCATTCACAGGTTATCATATAATCACATACTTTTTCAATCAAACACTATACACACAACATCATATCATTTCTATAGCATTTATCATACCACTAACTTATATTTGTTCATATCTCTGGATTAGCCCATGTACATATGTGAGAACTATCGATATGTGAGTCTATAGAGGTTGTGCACTATGCTGTCACCACAGCTCGTATAAATGCACCGAAGTGCCCCGTAGAATTGCACCGTAGTGCCATATAATGATGTCCATAAGGACCACGTAGAATTCTTTAAGAATCATATACATATGCTAGGGATCAAGTATGTGTCTTTCCAGACTTTACACATGTTCCAAAGAATATACATATGTCCCTAAGAACCGCGTAGACTTGCACCGTAGTGCCATATAATAATGTTCATAAGGACCACATAGAATTCTTTAAGAATCATATACATATGCTAGGGATCAAGTATGTGTCTTTCCAGACTTCACACATGTTCCAAAGAATATACATATGTCCCTAAGAACCGCGTAGACCCTCGACTCTTGGCATGCCAACTATACCCCTAGCTCTCATGACACATAACATGGGCGTTATCATTTATTTCATTTCAAATATTCATATAAACTTGTAATTCACTTTCACATATCACTTATCACATAGCTTCTTTTCATATGATCACATAGTCACGTAGTTCACTTACACGTAGATCATTTCCATATAATTCACATGTTCATCATATCTTGTTCACATATGATCATATATTTCATATAACAGATAGGAACACTTTCACATAGCTTATAATCATAAGTTTTGTCTCGTAACATATACTTGTTTTCACATATATATTTTCCTATCAATTCTTATACCATCACATAATTCCTTTAACATACATAACATATCTCACTTCTATTATTTCTCTATATATAATCTAATATGTTTACTTAATTCAATTTCATATAACTCCTATAATCTTCTCATATAACCTTATAAATTTCTATCATACAACCCATGTGTTATAGTTTTATTTAAACCTATGAATCTTTCCCATCTAGCTTATCTTATACGTTCATCTTATCATTTATGTTCAAATCCCCTAGTTAGTGTACTATTCTCACTTCATCCTATAGATCAATATTATCCAGCTTATTTCACTTATCATATAATAATATAATTATATTTTACTATGATCACATAGTTTATATCTCATACTTCGCTTTCTCATGTTCACCTATATCATATCATATGGCTCATATCTTTCTCATGCAGTCACATAGTTCAGTTTCACATATATATATATATATACATTATATAGCACATACTTCTCATAACATTACATTCAAAAGCATGTCAACACATATATTCATGCATACATACAATTCATGTCATTCATATACGTATAATCATATATTCATGCATTCTAACATAGGAAATAGACTTGTCGCAAGTCTTGTTTCCATTTAGCACCATAAACTAACTAATATGCACTCACCTGGCCTCACTAGCCAATTCAAATCTCTTATCTTTCCCTTGATCGATCTTACTTGCCAAACGTTCCGGAATTTCTTTATGCTTAGAATCTATATAAATGTACATTTCGAGACAATCAATAGATACCTACACCTTGTAATTGGATACTATCAATTTAAATGAACTTATTAAATCCATATTCCCAATTTTCCTTTAGGGGGAATCGGTTCCCCCCCATGGGGTATCGGTTCCCCTATGACATACTGGAAATTCTTGTTCGTTTGAAGGGGTATCGGTTCCCCTTGAATGGGTACCGATTCCCCTTGCCCAGAAATCATATTTTCAACCCGAAAATTACTTCATTTCCTCTCAAACACTTCATATATCATCTCCTTTTCATTCTTAACTCTAGTACACATACTTTAACCAATCTATATTCATTTATTTCATCTTAAACCTTAAAATCTTATATTCCATACGAGATTCAAAAATCATACCAAATTTTCAATGTGTTCTAATTCCAATTCTAACACCTCATACTTCTTAATTAGATTGATGGCAAGTCAAATTCATCCATAAAACTTCAACAACCATACCCTATCAAAATTCCATCTTAAAACTCATATTGTAAATTCCTTCATAATTCCTTTATCTTATTGTTTAAATCCTATATAAGCTTTCCTTAAGCTTATTTAATACCCAAATATTCAAAACCAACTTATAAATTCCAGAAATTAACAGTTAAAAATCAAACTTACCTTTAAGTTGGAGCTACGAGAAGAAGAAGAAGAGAGTAAGAAGAAGGCTTCCAGAACTCTCCCAAAACCCACGTGTATCACTTGTATTTAAAGAAAATACAAAATATTCTTTAAGCTGAAAAGACTAAATTGCCCCTTTAATTATCCATCTATGCTATTTAATCCATCATCAAAATTCTTTACTTAAATCCCAAAACTTTTAACTTATTTCAAAATTGAGCACTAAATTTCCCAAAATTTACATTTTAGTCACTGACCCGGCTTTCGGGATGTTACAGATTTGGTTTTTTTGTGTGATTTTTTTTGGATTTTTTTATTTTTTATTTTAAATATAAATTTTAAAATTACCACGCCACATGTAATTTAACGGAATATTTTAATAGTCGTTACGATCAAGACACCTAAAATGGTAACGTTTGTAACATTAGGCACCTGGATGGATCGAAAAAAATTTTGGGCATCTAATTAAAAAAACGGTGTAGTTTGGGCCTTATTTTTATAT